TGTGGTGTGTGTGTGTGTGTGTGTGTGTGTGTGTGTGTGTGTGTGTGTGTTTGGGGCAGGCGGGGGTTGGGGGGGAAGGATTTCATGAACACTCTGGTGACTTTAAGGTCTGGTTCCTGCTCCGGTCCAGGCCTAGGAACTACTACTAATCTGTCTGTGAGGTTCTCATTCGATTTCAGTGCCTGTCCCAAGCCTTCATTTTTATAGAACAGAGAGCAATCAAACACTTTTTTCTAACATGAAGCCACCCCCCCAAACAACAACAACAACAACAACAACCCAACTTGTTGCTACAGGAAGTTTTCTAGGCCTCTGAGCTAGGAAAGAGGGGGAAGGAGAGGCCTTGGGGGGAAGGGGGCATTCACTCCATCCTCCAGCCCTGTGGTGTTCCTGTCCACTTCCCCTCCTAACACAGCTTTGTGCTTGAGGATTTCAGCTGAAGAATTTCAGACCTGGGCATTACTAGCCCATCACCAAAGCAAGTACCTGCTCCTGGACAAGATAGCTGGCAGGCTTCTAGATACTTTCAGGTATTGTGAATTAAGATGCATGGACTCCATCCTGAAAACATGAAGTGTGTTCTATCTGTATAAACAACACTCTACTACCAGAGCTGGTTATTTCAGTTGTACAATAGCTCCTTCCTTGTAGATTATTCCAAGATGGAAGTGTGTGTGTGTGTGTGGGGGGGGTTGTGGAGGCTAGAGATCAACTTGGATGTCTTTCTCTATCACCCCACCTTATTTTGGGTCTCTCGATGATCTTGGAGCTCACTGATTAGGCTTGACTGGCTAGCCAATGAGATCCCAGATTTCTGCCTTCTCAGTGCTGGGATTACATGCACCACAGGCTTGTCGTGCTGGGGCTCTGAACTCTGGAGCTTTTGCTTCTGAGGCCAGCACCCTTAATTGAGCCTCTTCCTAGCTCCCAGGTTTGTTTTACTGAGCATTTCCAACCCCTTTATAAGCCCTAGTGTTTGTGATCAGGGCACAGTGGCAATCTCTCTGTTCTTTGCTCTTTCTAGAGCGCTTTCCTGCGGATAACACATTGAGAGTTAAGAACCTGAAACTGACTTCAGGTTCACTTGTGGCCTTTGGTCACCAGCAGATTAATTTGGTAGATAATTCAAGGGAAAATAATTTACTTGGATCATGCTTCATGACAGCCATGGCACACTGCAATACCACCTCAATTCAGGGTTTATGTGCTTTTCATAATTTGGAGTTCATTAGTGCTGAAGACAATAAGCTAGAAACAGTCTCTAGTGGGTCACTTTCACCAAGTTATCTACTAGGGATCATTTCCCACCATGCTTGTGTGGCTGCAGCAGGCAGCATTTAGATGCAGAAGGGAAAAACATTTGATCTTCCTCCCTTCCTTCTTTTCTTCCTTCCTTCCTTTCCTATCTGGCTTGCTTGCTTTCTTGCTTATAAAACTTTTCTAGTTTTGATCACCATAATAACAATGCCATGCCTTAAACAAACTTTTACAAAGTACCCTTTCAAAGATTCAGTGCATTGTCACTTTAGGACATCAATTTTATCTCTGTTTTCTGTGATCTGTGACAACAAATATGTGGACAATTAGATATAATGTCTGTTTTATTAAAATGTTCCGGATGCCTGTGGAGTTCTCCTTGGCAGGCCATGCGCCTTATCCTTCGGTGAGTACGTCTGTCCATCTAGCCATTGCCTTGCACTAACTGTGCAAGCAGTTTCCCACCACACAAAACACCTTTCTGAAACCACCCTCTGCCTCCATAATTTTTTCCAGCCAGAATCCTTACCACACAGCCTGTAAGCATAACTTAAAGGGGGGGGGGGGGGTTTGGGGCGGGGGGGTGCTTGGTGCTTAAGAAGTCTAAACACACTGATGAAATTAAGCATATCTAAATGTGGCCAAAGCACATCAATTCCCTTATTGAGAAATTATGGAGATATTTGCTTTTCAGTACATTAAGTCTGCAGCCACATTAGTAGTCTCTGTATCTTTAGATTTTGCAAAAGGGAACTGAAACCCAGCAAGTCGTATCAAGAGTCCATTCAAAAAATGAACAAAAAAGCAAATGAAAACAACCCAGAAAGAGGTGGTATAGTTTTCATTTTGCGTTTTGTAGGCATAGGTCCCTTCTTTAAAATTTGCAATTTTCTCTGAGAGGTGGTGGATTTTCACTTCAGAGGCAAACAATATCATGACGAGACAGCCACAGGAGCCTGCAACACAAAGAACAAACAACATGTTAGGACAAATAGAACTTGATTGTAGGAGTCAAAGAGGACATCAAGGAGCAAACCAAAGATAGTATGTCACCACCATCCTCTTTTGCATTCTTCTCCAAAATAATGCTATTGAAAAATTGCAATCATGAGCTCGATTCTCCAACCCGTGACTGGTCGTACTTGGGGTGTGGCTGTGAATAAGAAGATTAATGCAGGGAGGGGACATTGGTGGCTTGAATATGGCAGTTAGAATCAAGCTGACTTCACTGCAGCCTGAATTCCTGGGCACCTTCAAAGCACAGTGACAAACTCCACTGCTAAGCAGTCACTGTGGCTTCAAGAGAACACATTTCTCTGTACTTCACCAGTGATAATGGGTAAATGACACTTATGCAAACTCTGTAAAAAGCCACATGGTACCCCATAGAAGGGTACCATGACCCCTTCAACTCTCAACTGGCCACTACTGGCCAGATGAGTACCTGGGGTAAAGGTAGTTGTAGATAAAATGTGGTTGACCAAGAGCATATCTGCTCTCTCTGCAGTCAAATTCAGATTCTCATCTGGGCATGGGCGGCCTTTAATCAAGTCAGCATTGTTCAGGTGAGATGGGGATAGCTGAAGTGGGGAAGCAGGAAGTTTCTGCTTCACTCCTCCTTCTCATAGCTGCAATGTGGATGCAGGGCCTTCTGGTCCCGGTGGCATCAGAAATGGAAGCCATGGGCAGGGGAGAGAGCTCTCTGGTTAAAGTACTGACTATGCAAGAGTGAAGACCAGGGTTCAGACCCCCAGAACCCACATAAATGCAGGGTGGGCATGGTTGTTACCCTGTAATTCCAGCTTAGATGGTAAAGACAGGGCCTCCCCAGAGCAAGCTTGGCAGCAAGACTAGTCATATCTGTGAGCCTTGGATTTAAGTGAGAGGCCCTGCCTCAAAGAACAAGATGGAGGTGAGATCAGAGCTGATTCCCATCATCAGCCTTGAGCCTCCACACATATGCTCATACAAAAAGAAATAGAAGCCATGGTACTATTGCAAAACAAGAAAGGCAAAGTCTGGATTCCAGACACATGAAGCCACCAGACTGTCCCTGGATTTTAACCTCTAAATTTCAATGTGTGAAGAAATTTGATTTTGCTTATCTCTCTTCTATGATACCCCATCACTTATCACTGATTATAGCCTAACATAAAGGGTGTGACTATAGGCTGTGTGACACCTCTGAAGAAGAGGGTTGCTCCATTCTAACTGGGTCATCTGTAGTGGCTCGGTTTTGCTCTTTTGGATTTTTTAAGGGACCCACCATCCAGCTCTCAGATAAATCACACTTGGATTCTTATACTTACTTATGAATGCCAGGCCTTAGCTTGGTTTGTTTCTAGCCAGCTTTTCTTATCTTAAATTAACCCATCTACTTTTTCCCTCTGGGCTTTTATCTTTCTTACTCCTGTATATCTTACTTTCCTTCTTACTCTGTGGCTGGCTGGCTGGGTGGCCCCTGAGTCCTCCTCCCCTTGTTCTCTTGTTGCTTCTCCTCTCCCCCTTTCTCCTTCTGTTCATTCTCTCTGCCTGCCTCCCAGCCCTCCCTATCCTTGCTCCGGCCTCGCTATTGGCTATTCAGTGCGTTATTAGACCATCAGGTGTTTCAGATAGGCACAGTAACACAGATTCACGGAGTTAAACAAATACAGCACAAACAAAACTCACAGTAAGCCCAAACAGTAAGCATTCTTCACCACTGAGCCACCTCTCCATAAACTGCTGCCCAGCCTCCCTCACACCAAGAAAACCTTACTACATCCAAAACAATAAAAGAGTATCTTATTCCCTCAAATAAGATTATTGTCAATTTAGCATACAATTCTTTTTATTCTTTGATTTGTTACTTCAAATACTATGGGAACAGCAACATAGTACTCTCAGTTCCCATTCATTAATTCACTCATTCATTTTTTTTTTCAGTTAGACATATTATAAGCCAGGCACATGGATAGCAATGAAGATCCAAACTTGAAAGAAAACATAGATGGTCTCTGTTCTCAGAGAGAATACGATGAGTTAGGTAGCATAGCAACAATGATAAACTCTTTGCAGTGAGTGTCACAGCAGGGAATGCTGGGTACTATTACTGTGTGGGGGGAGGGTGTGTAGACAGCATCCTCAGAGGTATCTATAGGAAAAGTTAGCTCACAAAGGGAGGCTAGACTGTGAAGGAGGATCCAGTGAGTGTAAGCACAGGTCCCCATTCCTTCTCCAAAAGCAGGCCTGGATTGCTGCCCAGATAGAGACTGATAACTGATTGCAAGGAAGGGGAGCAGGTACAACAAATAGGAGAGGTGAAGTACTATTGCTTTGGGATTTCACAGAAACACATCTGCCATCTGAGCACTTGTGAGGTTGAGGCAGGAGGATTTCATGAAAAGGCAGGCAGACAGAGAGAGAGAGAGAGAGAGAGAGAGAGAGAGAGAGAGAGAGAGAGAGAGAGAGAGAGAGAGAGTTTTTCTTGACCAGGGATGGTCCCATCAAGTCGGTACTCATCAAACAACACCACAAATAGCCGGATGGTATCACTTTCTTGACACTTCACATCCACCCGCCTCAGCCTGGCTGCTGAGAAGATTCCTTTGTGAGATTTGTCAGCCTAACTATTTTTGTATTCCAAGCTTCACACCAGAGCTCTCCCCTTGCAAACCATATTATTCCTTTATTGTGAGATGCTAACAAAAAGGCCGAGATGCTGTTTTCTCTTTATCTTTTATTTGAAAATTATAGAGAAAATGCCATTGCTGTTACCATAAGAGCTTTCTTTGTCTGAGGAGATGGTGAGTTTCAGACAGGAGAGAAACACTATTTCCTCAGTGCCTGAAAGGAAAATTCAAGCTCAGTTTCCTTTTGAAGTTGTTAAATATTTTAAAGGGATCCTTTGTTAAAGGGACAGCATCTTAGTGAGCCTGCATTCAGATTCCTCAAGTCAAGTCACCTGCACATCTCAGGACACAAACAGTAACTCATCATGAAGATCACAAGCAACTGGGCTAGAGTCTGTCATCATTAATAGAGCAGTCTGGGGCTCCCCTCGAGATTCTGAGTTTGACCACAGTCAACATTTTCATCTTGAAGTTGAGCCCCGACAACCTGCCTGCCACTGCTAAAGGGAAACATCTCAGTGTGAACTGGAGATATTTTTGCTTCTCTTTGTCCATATCCATAAAAGAGATGTGGGATCAAGGATAGCTATTTATGAGTTATCAACCAAAAGTTACAGATGAAGGCTTTCCATTTGCTGTGTGGCCCAGCTGCTTGGGATGTGGAGAGAGGTGGGCTGAGAGACAGAGAGAGATAGTGAGAATAGGGCTTGTCACATTACCAACATGATTCTTGGTCCCAGTAAGAAGGGCCTCCACATCCTGTCCACTCTCTAGAGGGGCTTGCTTTGCTCTTCCCTCAAAGTAGGAGGTGCTTGAACTCACTAGAGCATGCCCACCTGGAGAACACATGCCTGAGTTATAGGCTATACTGTGGGACTCTAGAGCTCTTGCCCCCATAGATCTGAGACTATATCCAGGGCTGCATGATCATGAGGTCAGGGTTAGTCCTCTCAAGAGCATGTTGGTGGCTGTTGGTACCCATCCCTGAGCACTGTGAGTGTCTCATGAATAGCCATTTGGTATGCAGCTCAATGACACCCCCTCTATATATACTCAAAGCCTTTCGTGAGTGAGAGGAAGCCAAACTAGGAAGAGAAGTAGACTAAATGGGAACCCATGGTGCTTCTGTCACTTACTCATGTGCAGAGTTCATAGCAGTCAAGATTTCTAAATTGAAACCCCTCCTAGGTCCTTCTGGAGGGATGGGTCTTGGGGAGAGAAATTCAGCATATTGTATATAGTGGTTTAGTTCACTTTAAATTTAAATTTTTAAACACGTGGAATATGGATTTTTATTTGTATGCTCACAAATGTCAGGATTAGGCCTGCATGTCTCTCTCCTCTTTTATCCCAATGAAAATGTACATCAAATTCCTTAGCTCAGCTGGAGCTACTGGGACAGATCCCCCACGTGTCTGTCCATCTGATCCTCACTGCAAAGATAGAATGAACCAGACTTTAGAAGCCTGCTGAGCTGCACTCACAACCAGGCACAAGGCCCACATTTGCAGCCCAGGATCACACTCAATGACCGCAGCCGTTTTCCTTTCATCTGTCTGATGTCCCCACCATCTGGATGCTGCTGCTGTTGTGCTCCCCGCCTTTAATGGCTTTGATTACTGAGTTAATTTCTGACTGAATAAGATAGCTGAGTTATAGGGCTGTCACACCATGAATGATCAGACATTAACAATCATTTGTGATGTGCTAGGCAGTGCACATTCGTGACTCTCATCTGGCAGCTGCCTGCAAGTGCTGAGTTAGGTGTCTGTCTCCTTAGGTCTGACAATACAGGGAACATAGGTGTCTTAGGGTTTCTATTGCTGTGACAAACAGCATGACCAAAAATCAAGTTGGGGAGGAAATGGTTTATTTGGCTTACACTTCTAGATCATCATAAGCTATCTGGAGCTGATGCCGAGGCCATGGAGGAGTGCTGCTTATTGGCTTGCTTCCCCCTGGCTAGCTCAACCTGCTTTTTTTTATAGAACACAAGACCATCAGTCCAGGAAGGGCACCACCCACAATGGGCTGGGCGCTTCCATATTGATAATCAATTGAGAAAATGCCTGGATCTCATAGAGGCATTTCTTCAATTGAGGCTCCTTCCTCTTTGATGACTCTAGCTTGTATCAAGTTGACATACAAAAAACCAACTAGTATAACAGGTCACAGCCAGTAAGAAAGTTGCTTCTGCTGTCCTTCTTGGCCCTAAGCTTAACTATGCTTTTGGGTGAGAACACTTGCCAGGATGTGTAGGCCTCCAGTGCGCTGTGAGATGAAGTCTTCATGGGGCAGAAATTCTGAAATTATCCCATTAGCACTAAACTCATATTTTGGAAAAT